ATCTGCCATCTTGTTTGTTCTCTCAGGTGTCCTTTTGGGGGAGCAGTGCTAATATTACCACTGTTGGGCTCAGAGTAGAAATGGTGGTGATCATATAAGAAGTTGACCTATGTTTACTTTCACATTCAGTAAAAACAGACGAGTAAAAGGTGGGAGAGAAGGCTGTGTCTAGAAGTGACAAGCAGTGCTCTGAAAACTTTTCCGGGGCCATAGATCTTTACAGGAGCAGAGAACCTCATTTTTTTCCCCACAGAGCAGCTGGTGTGTTTAAACTGCAGACCTTGCTGTTAGCAGTCCAGTGCTTATCCTACAGCACCAGCTGGGTTCCTAAGATTTATATCCTGGGACTAAAATGATGTATGTGTTTTAAATGCATTTTTAAGGTTTCTTCAGATTTTAATTTGTAACAAAGTTTCTTTCTTTCTATTATTAAAATAAGGAAAGAAGGAGAGGAAAAAACCCGTGTCTATTTCTAGCTTTCCCGGAATATAAGGTCTATTTACATGTTAGCATAATTACCTCCAATAGCAATGAGCCGATCTCCACGCTGAAGATCTGCAATTGCAGCTGGAGAGTTTGGGGCCACAGTCTCAATTATGACATGTCCAGCATACCCATCAGTAGACTGGACAAGACGGAGTGTAAGTCCAACACTTTGTAAATTCCCCTTTATTAATTCAACCTGCGAGAAAGAGAAGACAATGAAAAAGAAGTCCACAGGTCACAGTCGTGGACAGAGAAAGCAACACAGGTGACGCTAACTTCTGTACCATGTGACCACTATTCCAGACACAGGAGAATTCTTTACTGAAACAATATAAACCACCATAGTCTCAGACTGTGCATGCAGTCATTTTCAGCACTAAACACTTCCTATCATCAGTGTGCTTTCAAAGATTCATACTCACTGAAGAAAATGTGCAAATACAGACAAGAAGAAACCCACCTCTAGGACCCATAGCGACCCTGTATAGGGTTTCCAAGGAGTAGCTGGTGAGCTTGAACTGCCAACCTTGCAGTTCAAACGGCTTTGCAGTCTGGCACATTAACCTACAGCGCCACACCAGGACTCCATACACACACACACACACACACACACAAAAGGAGCTCTGGTAGCGTAGTGGTTACAAATCGGGCTGCAAACCTTAAGGTCAGTAGTTCGAAACTACCAGCTGCTCCATGGGAGAAAGATGAAGCTTTCTGCTCCCATCAAGATTTACAGCCTTGGAAACCCTGTACAGGGACGCTATGAGTCAATTCCGACTCCAGAGCATATATATACATGTATAGCATAAAACTGAGATCTCATTGTCAATAGAATTCTAAATTGTGCATTTTTCACAAATAATGGAACAACGGTCTATGTAGGAAACTTCAGGAACTGCATTTTTAATAGTATATTGCTAAATTTTCATTTTTTGGTATGGACATTTATGTTTTATGAAGAGTGTTCTTGCTAATGAGATCCTCTGTACTAACTCAACAAGATCATTCTGTTTTCTAAAGTAATTTGTCATCTAATTCATTAGGATTTATATTATCTGTGAATTAAAACAAAACAAAACCTAGCCAAGAACACCTGCTATGTTTTCAGTGACATTCGAATCACTGATAAAAATGTGAGCCCATCAGTCTAGGTGACAAGAGCGCAATCAGAGCTGGAGTTCAATTACAAATCTGTCGGCTGCATTCTCATCCAGTGTACATTTCAGTCCTGTCCTTCCAGGGCATCTCATGAGGGACTTTGCCAAATTTGCTGTTCACACCAAAATATGTCACTGTATTACTTTCACATACAAATCACACTTCAAGTTTAGAAATGCAATTTTCCTATCTGATGATGCTGGCTGGTAAAACTGACCTTTAGTGTAAGTTGTTCTTCAATATGAATGTTAGTAGGGTTTTTCAAACTCTTAAAAAACTCTTAAAAAAAAAAAAGGTATGCTCAAGAAACTGGAAATGTGGTTAAGTTTCTTATTATCTATGACGGTGGTGGTTGTGTGGCATTATGTTGGTTTCAACTCACAGTGATCCCGTATAGGGTTTTCCAAGGCCTCATTTTCCTCCCGTGGAACGACTGTTCAATTGGGACAACTGTCATAAGTTTACAAAAAATTCAAACAAAAACAACCCCACCAAAACACATTTGTATTTGTTTTTTGTTGCCATTGCATCAATTCTGACTGATGGTGACCTCACTGCTCCACAGGGTTCTCATAGTGGAGACATAACAGAAGCAGATCAGCAGACTTAGTTATCCTCGGAGGCACCCTGAGCCTTTTGGCTAGTGCTCTTATTATTGCTGGTGTGGCGCTGTGGGTTAACGTGCTAGACTGCAAAAGCCGGTCTGAACTGCAAGGTTGACTGTTTAAGCTCACCAGCTGTTCACTGGAAATCCTATATAGGGTCGCTCTGGGTCGGAACCGACTCAATGTCACTTAACAACAACAACATTATTGTTGCTAAGTGCTGCTCAGTCGGTTCTGACTCACAGTGACCCTAAGTAGGCTTCCAAGGAATGCTTGGTGGGTAGTAGTGATATGCTTAACCAAACATCTGTGCCATACAGGGATTCCTCATTTGTGTTTAAACCTCCAAAAACATGAATTTATCCTAATAACAGATAAGAGTAAATAATCATCTTATAATGTAAAAATGCCTTTCAGTTAACAAAGCCCTCAAAATAGATCTCAAATTCATGAATACACGCACATATACACACACATATTAATGTATAAGTGCAAAAGCTAAAATTCGGAATATAAATTTTTCTCATAACAAAAATCTAGGGACAGCAAATGGGTAAATAACTAATCTGTGTGAGTCTGAGTAGAGCCAGAAGGTACGTGACAAAACCAACAAAGAAATAAAAACCTTAATTTCTCTGTCAAGAAATTTCTGGCTGAATTCTTTGAAAGGAATAATAATCTTACCCAGGATCTTTTAGAAAAGAGAGGATAATAACAAATGAAATGCCCCTGTTACTCTAATTCCCAAACCCAGACAAACACACACGAGAACTCTAATAAACATGCATGCAAAATTTCAAAACAAAAGTTTAGAAAATTCAACACTGTATAAAAGGATAATGCATTAAAATCAAATGGAGGAGTCCTGGTGTGGCACTGTAGGATAAGCACTGGACTGCTAGGCACTATGCTGGCGGTTTAATCCCATCAAGCACTCCTTGGAAACCCTTCACAGTCTAAATCTGTGGTTTTTAATACAAGATCTATGAGAGAGCTTCAAAAGGTTCGTGGGGAAATTAAATGAAAAGACACTGGAAATTCTGTGGAAAATGCAATGAAAAGATAATTTTCTCATGAACTTTTGGAAGCCCCCTCATATGGTTAGCGTTAATTTTGGTTTCTTTTGGTATGATTTGGTAGGTTATTTTTTGGGGTCTAGGAATGCTCATATTTTTTTCCTGTATAAAAGAAGGCTAATTACATCTTCACTTTATGTTATTTCAGCTTACAAAGGTTTCATGTGACTGCTCTATTTTTGGACAGCAGGGGAAACCTGCATTAACTCTGTATCAAGACTGGGCCACCAGACACATATGGATATGGTGGGATAGATATTCTGGAGAAACAGGCAAACATGGTCATCAGGTGGGAGATCTGGGGAAAGGATGACATTAAGTTATATCTTGAAGCACAAGAAGAATTTCAACAGATCGTCTTGGAGTTGGGACGGTGGGGTGATTAAGACAGAAAGGTTATCATTCTAGTCTTGTTAGAGCAAAGAAATGAAGACAAGAATGGGAATCCATTATGATATCCATGACGATTTATGAGAGCAAAACTCATCTATTGTAATAGAACACATTTTACTAGGAAAGCCATTCACAGATCGTGTCACAGTGCATATCACAGAATCCTACATATTCTGATTATATAACAAATAAAAGGTACTATAATAAATCCATGAGGGGGCTTCAAACAGTGTGTGGGAAATCCCACTATCTTTTAATGCAAGCTGGGCCGATCTGAGTTACTTCCTGGATGGCTAGAATTCAGCCTCAGTGCTTCCTTGAATGGAATAAGCATAATGCAGCTGTGAGGACCTGTGTGTCTTCGTATGCACTGGGAAGCAGACAAAACCAGTCTGCAGAGGGAGGAATACTGCATCCAAACAGCCAGCAACAGAGAAAGCCCACACTACTATCACAGGCCCTGGCCCCTGACTTGGGATCCATGAACTGTTCTGGTAGTCTCAGAAAAGATACTTCATTTTTTTGCTTATGCTTGGCTTATGGGTAATTTTTCTCTCAAACAAGTAGGTTCTAGTTGATCCGTCATGGAGACTGTCCTATACAAATACCTCATTTAAACCCAAAATCAACTGGAAGGTTACAAATTATAAAGGTAGGAGGTAAAATGTTTTTTTCTGTGGCGTAGTTTATATCAACTGGCCTGACTTTAGTTGAAACCAATAAAGTAAATTTCTACTGGACTAAAAACATGGCTTCTATGACATTTTTTAAAAAGTTCATAAATTGTCAACAATTTTCTGACAAATGCTAAACAGCAATTATGTGAGTGGAATGGCAGGGTTCAATACATAATGATTGTGGGCAGCCTGCATTTAACTTTACCAATAATGTCAAACCCAGGTTGAAACCTCTGGTGTGTGCGCATCTCTCTTGTGGGGAGCAATTTAGTAAAACCCCAAGATAGCCTTTAAGAGCCTGTACTCTCTGACGCCCTTGCAACCTTTCTTAGAGGCAGCTGGGCTGCCTCATTTTCACCTGGGGGGAAAAACAACATATTGATTTTTTTAAAATCCCTTCCTCACATGGACATAATTTTCCACCACAGATAGGAAGAGGGCAGATTTTAATAACACCAAAATAGCGCTTTTACTTTACACCAAGTGTTCTCTAGTACCTGAGCTTGTGACATTGAGTGGAAAGCAAAAACACAGAAAAGGTCACTAAATGAAGAGCCCAAATTGGCTGTGAGCGTGAGTCTGAGCAATAGTTCATCAAATTGCTGCTGTTGTTAAATGCCTTCAAATCGGTTCCAACTCACAGTGACCCTGTACAGGGTTTCCGAGGAGTGGCTGGTAGGTTTGAACTGCCACCCTTGTGGTTGGCAGTCCAGTGTTGATCCTCTAGAGCCATACCAGGACTCCAGGCAGGGGAAAAAGACATGTGAAAAGGACACCAGACACAACAACCTGCACAATGCACGCACAGCAGACTTTCCAATGCAAATAACCAGTTTTCAGATCTTCTGGCTCATAAAAGAAACAAATGGCTATTCTACCAGAGTTAGGGTCATGACAATTTCAGAAGATGGTGATATTCTACAATGCTCTCCTACAAGAGGCAACAGTGGCAACATTTTTAAAAAATCATTAATACTGACTCCAGAAATACACAGTTAACGTAACTTGGCACTGTGGGTTAATGTGCTGAACTGCAAAGTCATTTGAACTGCAATGTCGGCGGTTCAAGCTCACCAGCTGCTCTTTGGAATCCCTATACAGGATCGCCATGAGTCAAAACCAACTTGATGGCACTTAACAACACAATATAGTGAAGTTACTGTGTAAGGATGAAAAACAGGGTGGGGGAGATGAATTGATTCACTCATTCAAAATGCTCCGGGCCTGAGGGAGGGGTCAGTAGGTACAGCAACAGCACAGCAGATGAGCTTCCCTGGCCTCACGGAA